GCCATCTTGGATACAACTTTTGTTTTTTCAATAGGAAGAGGGCCATGTGACACATCAAACTTATTGGTAATGTCACAAGAAAAACAATGGTGTGCTTGGTTTCAATGTAACTTTATTGTTTCATGAGTTATTTACAAGTTTCTCTTTGTTCACAGCCATTGACATGTCGAAGAGGTTAACACGTGAGGAGCGGATCGAAACTGTGTTGATATCTGGTGAACGCAGTAACCGGGTCATTGCAGCAGATTTCAATGCAAGACACCCTACGAGACCACCCATCTCCCATGCTACAGTTAGCAAACTGCTCGCTAAGTTTCGTGAAACTGGTTCAGTGTTGGATTTGCCAAAATGTGGACGCAAGAAAACTGTCACTAATGAAGAAACATCAGTGGCTGTCCTAGCTTCATTCAGCAAGAGCCCACAGCGTAGCACTCGCCGCATGTCACTGGAGACTGGCATTAGTCGAACATCCCTTCGGCGGATATTAGCTACTCACAAATGGCACCCTGACAAACTCCAGCTACTGCAGCATCTCAACAAGGATGACCCAGATCGGCGCACAGAATTTGCAGAATGGGCAAAACAAAAATTGGAACAGGACCCTCAGTTCGCGCAGAAGATTTTGTTCAGTGATGAGGCAAACTTTTATGTGAATGGTGAAGTTAACAAACAAAACCACCGCTATTGGTCTGACACTAACCCACATTGGATGGATCCCTCCAAGACTGTTGGAACAACAAAAGTGATGGTTTGGTGTGGTATATGGGGTACAACGATAGTGGGTCCATTCTTCATCAATGGAAACCTCAAGGCCACTGGATATTTGAAATTGCTACATGATGATGTGTTTCCCTCTTTATGCACTGAAGCTGGCACGTTCCCTGAGTTTTTCCAGCAAGATGATGCACCACCACATTATGGGTGCCAGGACCGAGCATTCCTAGATGAACAGTTTCCTGGAAAGTGGATTGGTCGTCGTGGGCCAGTTGAATGGCCCCCAAAGTCTCCCGATCTGACCCCCTTAGACTTTTATCTTTGGGGTCATCTGAAGGCAATTGTCTATGGTGTGAAGATACGAGATGTGCAGCACCTGAAACTACAGATACTGGATGCCTGTGCTGGCATTTCTCCTGCGGTGTTGCTATCAGTGTGTGAAGAGTGGAAGAAGAGGGTTGCATTGACAATCCAACACAATGGGCAGCACATTGAAGACATTTTATAAGTGGTCAGAAACTTGTAAATAACTCATGAAAGAATAAAGTTACATTGAAACCAAGCACACCATTGTTTTTCTTGTGACATTACCAATAAGTTTGATGTGTCACATGGCCCTCTTCCTATTGAAAAAACAAAAGTTGTAACCAAGATGGCCGACTTCTAAATGGCCACCATGGTCACCACCCATCTTGAGGAGTTTGCCCCCTCACATATACTAATGTGCCACAAACAGGACTTTAATATCACCAACCATTCCCATGTTATTACGGTGTATCCATATAAATGGCCCACCCTCTACTATCGAGGTATTTTATGGCACATTCGGGGCTTTTTAGCACAAACCTAAATGCCACAGCCTACCTATTATTGCCATCTTTGAATGGTTGCTTCCAGCTGCATAATGTTGCAAAGCTCAAATCATCTCAGTGTGTTTTCTTGAACACATACGAAAGTGAGTTCATTGCACTAAAAAAAACCCTCCAATAGAGAGCGTCTTCATGATGTGGTGGAATGAGTTCTCAGCAAAATCTCAGAGGAATCCAACTTCAGTGTATGCCAGGCACACACAAGGCAGTTCTGAAAACAAAAGGGGGCCAAAAGAGCGAGTGTCTATCCCACCAGTGTGAGAAAACTCCTTGCCTATATGACCTACAAAAAAGCGGATAGTTTGAATCAGTCAATTACAAACAAAAAACAATGCACAGATTACATTTGGAAGGTTAAATTTAAAATATTCTCCTGAAATATTTATATTCGTATTTTCAGCACTTAAGTCAGTGGTTTATAAATAAAGTTGGCTTAAATTTTAAATAAATTAATAAATAAATACGTAATACTACTACTAATAATAACAAAAAAAATCATAATAAAAAAAATCATAATAATATTGATGATAATGAACGCTGTCTTCGATTACTACTGTTAAAGTTGATGGCCAATAGCCTGCGAGCAGAGGCGGGGCTAATAGAGTCATAGACACGTGTACTAGGAAGTAGGAAGTAAATACAGAGCACTCGGAGTGCTGCTGGAAAGAAGTGAGTAAACCTGAAAGACTTATAAAGAAATTAGCGATACAATAGATTTAGGATAAAATTGAACTGTGCCGAATTCATTACTTTCGCTTCACAATACCAGAAACAGCGTGTTTTGGAAATATGACACTGATATTTTTAAAAACAAAGCGAATATTTTAAGAGAGCCGGCTTGCTTTCATTTACCTCTGTTTTCTGTAATCTGCACCTTGTGCTCCTCACGTGTATTGGTATTTAAAACTCGATTCGCCAGAAGGTCTCCACGAAGACCGGTTATATCGCAGAACAGAGCAAAGGAAAAGGAAAAGACGAGAAAATGAAAAAATAGTTAACAGCTGTTGACAAGAGTCAGCTGTCATTTAAAGCTGATTGTATACGCACACGAAAGGAATACGTTTAACTTTACGCTCCAAAATGAATCCACCCGTACGAGGCGAATATTTTTCCTATGTGCTCCTCTCTTGTTCATTGTAACACTACCAGGGTTTTACTGCTGCAGTCTCACATAGTCTGACAGTATTGTTGGCACACCTGCCAGTTACAGAGACCTGGGCACAAATGTTTAGGAGCTCTAGCCGACATGTTTTCATGATCAGGCTTTTTTCTTTCATCCTTTCTTCAATAGTTAGATATGACAAAAAGCAACGTGTATAACACAGAGAATAGTTTTTATAGACAGCATCATACCTTTCTGGGGAAAATTTTTAAAGTAGCCATCCCAATCATTCTTTTCATTAACTCATGGGTGTCAAAAATAAGGTCCAGGGGCCAGAATCAGCCCACCAAAGACTCCAATCTACCCACTGGATGGGTTTGGAAAATATAATGGAGGGCATATGTGTTTGACTTTTAGCTGTACAGCTTTTTCTAATGATAAAGACCTCCTCCATGACCATTCACACTACACCAACGTAAACAACTAATAGGTAAACAATTGAATAACAGAAAGTTCCTGTTTTTTCACGATCTACTATAGAAATTTACGATTTCTGTAGTGGGTTCACCTTAAAAAGGAGCAAAGCAAAATAAAACAAAACACAAAAAGACATTCAATTACAAAAAAATAAAGTTTTATAATCACAGGACAGTCTGTGCAGTGAAGTAAGAACTTTTTATCTAATTCAAATATTCATTAAAAGTTCAAAGTCAAAGTAAACTTTATTGTCATCTCTGCTATATACAGTACAGTATATAGAGAGACGAGATGACGAGGCTCCAGGTCCATTCAATGCAAAAAAACCCCAACAATAAATATAGGAAGAGTAAGAAGTAAATATACACTTTAAGACTGAGGTAAGGGGAGTAAATATACACTTTAAGCTAAAAAGGATCAATAACAATCTAACTTTACAATTTGAAATTGAGATTTAAAATGACCTTGAAGACCTTAAAGTGACCTCAATTTAAGCTCAAAGCAACATTTTTTTTATTGTTGAAATGACATATAATATTAAAATATCTCAGATATTAAACGTTTGATTAGATGTGTGCTTAAACCTATTTGCAAGAGTTTAAATTGTGTGGTCCACTTACATCTAAAGTGGGCTATATGTGGCCCACGATGTAAAACGTGTCTTATATAAAATGGAAAATGAAGAACAATTTAAAAAAATTAAGCTTTTTTTAAAAGGATAATGTGTATTTTATAATTTAATTGTGTGTCCTTTCACATACACATGCACACACGGCTCCACCTGTGTACACCCGAATTATCTTGCTTGTCATTTTGCTGAATGTTGTCTTAACAACTTTAAAGTGAACTGCAGTGTCTTCATCTTGAATTGCTTGAACAAAAAAAGAAGAAGAAAAAAGAACAAAATAGGCAGTTTCCATAAAGGTTGCATATGCCTGTTTTTTTTTACCCTCTGTTGTTTGATATTTCCCCTTCTACTTGTTTCATTCATTTTGGAAGTAGTGCAAATACAGCAGTTAGCTGTAGACTAATTTCTTTAGCAGTGGAGGTGAGAAAGGAGCAGGTAACAAAAAGGAGGACTGCATTTTACACTTTATATTATTTTGTTATGATAAATATATATATACATGTCTTGATGATCTGAAAGTTTAAGAGATCTCTTTTTCATCTGTGCCTTGGATGGGTCCCCAAATGTGGTGGGCCCTGACTGCACATTGGATAATGTGGTTTAAATTGTATTGGAAGGTAGAGACAGAGCAAAGTGCCTTGAGAAGATAAAACTAAATTGAATTGAATAAGTTGAATTGACCACAAGGGGCTGAACTTTTCAGGCAGATATTGGGCTTACCAAAAGTTAACAGGCTTATTATCAGACAGAGCTTATAGGCACTCATATTTAAATAAAAGTTTTACTAACAACTACTACTAACTGATTTCACTGGAATTTAAAAAGTGAATATTGTATATTAACATGAAAATCATTTGGTGTGTTGATGATTGAAACCCTAGGACGGCAGTGATAATAATCATAGTGCAGCAATAGAAAAAAGAAACCCAGGATGTTAAAATGCAAAGCAAACAGGATTTGAAACATCTTTTTGTTCCACTGTGTGCTGAAAAAACAAGGTGTGAGGCGTGAGTCAGTCACACGAGGGCTGTGCATTAGCATGTGTGTTGACTTAAGAGTCTTGTTGCCTTGTAGGATTACCTGAAAGCAGCCTTTTTTGTTTTACTCTAGTTTTCAAAGTCTTTCTGCAGTCTTTCTGTCGCCTATCTTTTTGAATATAATGTCGATGTGCCACGGGCTAACTTTTAGTGTGGCCGTGTTGTTTGTTTAGGTCTGTCACTATGCTAGAAGGCTACAGCCCTGTGACCCAGGCCCTGCTGGGGACTCTGTTCACATGGGGTCTGACTGCTGCCGGAGCTGCTCTGGTGTTCGTCTTCTCCAGCCGACAGGTAATGAGTGTCACTCTGAGCTCCAGGAATCGCTCTTCTAAAGAAATACTAGCAAATTATTTGGTGAGCTAGAGTTTTCCACTCATGAACTTAGTGTGACCTGGTCAATTTACAGTTGCCTACATTTGGTGACAAATTTTAGAATTTATAATTTTTATATATTTTTTTTAATCTGAAAGAACGGTGCTATCTCAAATGAATCTACTACTTTTCTCTTATTTTGAAAGTTTGGTTGCTGCAAGCCAGCTAGACAGGGCCCTTCCATGTCTCATGTTTTCTCTGTTTGCTGGCAGCTCCTACAAAAACAAAGAGTTCCTACCAGGGCCACTTGAGACTGGCTCTACAAGTGGGTAAATCACCAGACTCCCATGTTGAAATGTCCAACTAAACAGCATTCAAAAGCAACACAACTAAAAAGCAACATTAAAAAACCCCCAAACACTACAAAAGCTAAAAAAAGCAGAAGTGTTTCTGGGGATACAATAATGTGACAGAACAGACATTTTTGTTCCTATTTTCATTGTATTTCATTTAATGTCCTTGTGCTTTATGTGATTCTGCAGCATTTTTCTATTTGCGGATATTTTCAGTCTGTTTGATCTCTCAGGGCCACCGTAACAATCTGCGTTTTTGAATACAGCTAGTTTTTAGGTTCCTTCTGTTTTTCTTTCTTGCTTCTGTTCTACATAACAGATCAAGTCGAGTGAATTCATTAGAATTCAAATTTAAAATGATAAACTAGCTGGTAGAAATAACCTTAAAAGTGACTTTTTATTTTTATACTTTCAGTACATTTCAAAGCCTGCACTTCAAATTTTTCTTTAACAAAAGGTTCTATACTTCTGTAGTTCTTAAGTTATGGACATGTGAAGTTTTGCTACTAGTCAGGCTTAACGTTTGCAGTGTTTCTGATAGGCAGCAATCACCTCAGCTAAATATGAGTCACTGCTGTCTCATCTATGCTTGTGCTGTTGGTGTCTTTTATAACATTTTCACTTAATTATCTTATTCAGTGTTGATTAGCGCTAATCAGCAGATATGTGTGTCTGTGGTTGGCATCCATGCTGGATTTTAACTCAGCACGCCACTCTCTCATCCACGTGTAGTAATTTATGGTGGAAAATTCAATAATGTTAAGAGTTTAAAATGAATGCATTGCAGCCAGGTCAATTTTTAATTTATTAGCGGCAGATATTCGCTGTTTGCTGAGCTATCAGTGCCAGCATTTATAGTGGTCGTCAAATGAAATAAAAAAAATTAAGACTAGATGGAGGAAGCAGTCTTAACCCATTAAATGAGTATCGATGTTGAATAGTTTGTCCATCAGAGAGAGGAAAAGCCACTCTGCTACTTCCCTGTTGACAGCACACATATTTGGAATCGCACAATTTCAAAAAACCAGCTGATCTAAGTAAAGTCAGGCAGAGCACAAGTGAGTAAATAAATAACCACAGGTAACACATTTTAGGAGAATCTGTTTATGTTTTGTATGTCAAAAAAAAAAAATGTTGGTGGATATATTCCAAGATCACATTTTTAAATCACCAAATATCTGCATGTGTATTGGTCTTAAAAACCCGATATCAGTCTTTTCTAACACACAGTCTCATACATGTGTGTTCTGCTTGGATATCAGCTGCATTCAATTACAGCACAGCTGGACTTTTTGTGACAAAATTATTTGTAGGTGTGGAATGGATACACACAGTTGAATAATTTATTTATGTGTTGGTGTGTTCACCATCACCCGACAGCTCACCACATATAGAATTTAAGTCTATGTGGACACACAGTGAGAAAATCCAGAACACTTTAGCAGCTAGTGATGTCAATATTTGTTTCTGCAACCTTTAAGTGATATGATAAACCGTAAATTTATTCAGCTAAATCGCAGAGAAATGAATCAGAAAGCATGAAAACACTGTGCAAAACCTGCACACTGTTTGATGTATTTTTACCATTTCTGACTCCGGTAACACATGCCCATTTTGCCGAGTTAAGTCGATGGTGAGGAATGCACTGAACTGCTGGCTCTTCCACTGTCAGGGTTACTACGATATCGATTTCCCTGCCTCACTCACAATCTCTCTTCTTGTCTGCCCTTTTCAGAAGCGCATCTTGGATGGAAGTTTAGGCTTTGCAGCTGGGGTGAGTAAGGTTTCATTTGAGCTGAACCACATACTCACACATACATTGCTATGAGGTGATTGGCTTTTAAACGTTCCACTGCAGCAAGGCAAGTTTCCTCCTCATAGAGAGAAACTCTGACACATCCAGCTGCCATGTCGTTTCATTAAAAATCTGAGAGAAGTGTTCCCCTGCAGGTATCACCCTACAACTGAAAATGCATCCCCTTAACAGCACTGTCACTCATTCAATTACGATGTTTAAATCCCTGCAGTACGAGCAGTTTATAGATATAGATCACATATATCAGCTGGCCTTGTTGGGATGAGTGGATCGATACTATCATTAGCAGTGTTGGTGTTGGTATCAGATTTATAATAGCATGATGAGATTGATACTTTGGTTTCAGTTTCTTCTCTTTACATTTAGTACTGAGAAAATAGACGTCACTCCTTGTTTTGAGGTTTCTCACGTAATGTCATGCACACTTTGTCTAAAGCTGTCTGCCATATTGGACGTCATCTAACCAGTGGTTGCTAGGTAAATGACTGGTTGGCAGTGGTTCCTGGAGGCGGCACTCAGTCAAAGCTCTCACTCATCACATGAAATTCGAATCCCGGTGACCTCAACCTCAAGGTCAAAAGTCAGGTTTTCTGAAAATCTTGTGAATGCGATAACTTTAGAACAAGGTGATTAAACTTTTTAATTAAGTGCTCCAGCTTGAAAGTGTGAGGTAAAGTGCAGGATCAGATGGATGTAAGCCAAAAGAGCTGTAGTACTGGCTGCAAAAGAGCTTTTATTCTTTTTTAAAATCTAACAAAACCAAAGTTAACCAAAACTAGTAACAACGTTTCTATTTTTCTTTGATTTACATGAATGCTGTGTTTCATCTCATAGTGTTTGGTCTCTTCTTTTCTTTTAAATATCTTTGTTTGAATTGTAGTCCGTCTGCTCCTCCTCTGCAAAAGTTACCTCATTACTCCACATTAAAAATTAAAAGCACATATACCATTTGAGTAGACAAGGAGCCTTCTTTTTTTTTTTTTTAGGCTTTTATTGTGAAACACGCAGGAAGATGTCATGGAAAACACAAACTGTATATAAGATTTACATTCGAATTCAGATTCATCTGCCATGACAACTGGTTACTATTTGGTGTCCTTTATTTTGCCACTATAGAGAGAGAGAGCAGCCATCCTACATGTAAAGAGTGGAAAAAAGGGAAGCGTTAATTTTCAGGGAGAGCAGTGAGATGTGAGGAATATGTAGTGGACAAACAGGCATGAGACAGATGGATGTGAGGCTGGGAGACAGATGACTTTATGATCTATTCATAAAGTCATTCTAACATTTGATCTTGTGCGCAGTAATAGTTGACTAATGCATGCAAACTAGCCACTGCGGTTACGTAACGAACAACAACTCATCTGTCATCAGTGTGGTCTGATACTATTTCACCCCAAACAAGGTGAAATGATAAATTTGAGTCAAGCATTGCAAATAGCCGACACATACTTGTGGAATCTCTGTTTCTTTCTCTTTTTGAATAAGACTGGGACCTTAATTGCAATCCCTCCAACTGGTTCAGAGCTTGTTGTTAATTACGAGCTCAGATGAGTGAGCTGATAAGATGAATGCCAAATGATGAGAGATTGTCCACGCTTCTTTGAGAAAGATAGATCCAATCTCGGCCCCCACCTCCTTTATCTTCATTTTGGTCTTAACAGCTTTTCAATTACTTCGCGGGCTTAGCTGTTGCTCTTATACATTCTAATGAAATGGCTCATAAGGAGAAAAGAGCCGAGGGCTGCTTCAAACATTTGCTGAACTTCTTTGCAATTATGGGAACTGAAATCTTTTTAAAATATGTTTTTCACAGCGTAACTTTTGGCTTATTGGTGAGATAGTGTTACAATCTATCCAGTCCTCTTATTTTTCTTTGCATAATTCACATTTTTTAATAATATAGTTTTGATAAGAAACACAATTTTATTCTGGATGTGCCACACTTAGCTTAGATTTGAGGCACTGTAGCTATCTGTTTGGTTCAAATGAATACATTAGACTTTGCAGTCAACAACTTACAGAAGAAATATAAAAGTTTTTATCCCTGTTTGTATTATAAGATGAACGAATGGAGCAAGAAAGTATTTTTTTTCCACATCTTCGGATTTTGCCACGTGTGAGGTTTAGAGCTGCATTTGGCTTTTATCAGAACAAATTAAACTCTTCAGCCATTTAGAAAAGCAAAATGAGTGGAGATGGAAGGCAGGATGGGACTCTTCTCTTATGATTTTCAAAGAAGACAAGGCTTGGATTGCTTTTTGGCTGTGCGGAGAGGGAAGTAAGGTCAATCCATTTTAAAGTAGGGAAGCATACAGTGGGAGGGAATGTTACACAGCATTAAGTGATGGCAGTTCAGTGGAAATGAATTGTTATCTGTCTTTAAAAGTTTTCACTGACCTTTTATCAACTTAAATGGCTTGTTCAAGCTTCTACTTTGGTATTAAACATGCTACCATGGATGCTAGTAAGGCTGACTCTTGCTAGATGCTACAGTCTTCTTGAGTTCATGTTGTGTCTTTAGCACCCTGACGGTTTCCCTCTCTGTCTTGTTTCAATGTCAGTTCCTTTGCCCTCCTGTGTTTTCTTTTCTCTGTAGTATTTTCTTTTCTTGTCTCGTTGTTTAGCATTTGTCTTTTGGTTACTTCCTGTTTTACTTTGAAATGTACATTTCTCTCTTGTGTTAGTCTTACTTTCCTTGATTATGTTCATCCATCAAACCTCGAGACATTCGTTGATATGCTCCAATGATCCAGTGTTTATCCCAGCAAACATTTTGATGCTGAACACTGTTGTCTTTTCTTGACATCTGTTGGTGAGATGATGCTGGAGTTTCAGCCGTATTTGCTGGGATGCACTTGTGCCCCTTTAGATTTAGTATTTTTTTTACACTTGTCATTTTTTGCCAGGAACCCATAAATGCTCCAATTGTATTATTCCGACCTGCAGTTGGGTTATCTCTATACTGCAGTGTGACTATATTGAAAATACTGGCCAATGTGGGAAAAACTAAACTCATCCTTTTATTTCACATTAGCTGCTGTTGTATTGGGTTCTGGCAAAACAGTGCATCTAACTAGAAGAAGTGTTTTTGCAGAGCCTTTTTTCCACTGCAGGAGACACAAACATTATTAACGGTGCAGTGTAGCACTTCGCGTTTTTGTAAAATGTAACCCCATTTTCTATTAACTGAAATGAATATTGGCCTGGAACTGAAAATTGATTCTGATTTGAGCCTCGTGATTCAAAAAGCTTTGCGTCTCTTTACAAAAAAAAAAAAAATTATTTAAAAGCTAAGCACATTTTTCTTGTCATCTTTCAAAAAGCACGCAGGAAAAATATAATTTTGTTACTGCTGTCAGATGTTAAAATCCCTCTTTTGTAATAAATTACTGAAACAGTTTGACATCCAGATGAACGTGCTGACGTTAAGCTCAGAACATTTTAATTTGCAGTGAAAGTTTTATACCCAAAAACTCAGTTCTTTCTGTCCTTTGCTGAAGAGGCCCTAATAAAACAAATGCTATGGCAGTTACACATCTTGAGGTGACTCGTGAACCCTCCATAAGCTGAGAGAGTGGAATGTATATAATTAATTGTAAATTGCTAATACTGATGCTGAATGACATGGTTAAGAATTGATGAGATGAAAGCAGCTAGTCATCACCACTGCAGTTACTCCACTCTCTAATAACACATAATCTTTGTGATATTTTTTCTTCCAATATCACAACACAAAAACACATTGTGTACTCATTTTTAAATAGAAAATACATTGCCCTGCAGAAAAGCCATGTTGAGTTGTGTGCGTCTGTCTGTGTGTGAGGCTCAGTGGGTGTTTGAAGAGCATGTGTGTCTCATGATTCAGATGCCACCCTGTTTCCATGCCTAACATCTGCTGTCCTAACATGCACGCACACACACTTTGTGACAGTAGACTATCACGTCATGCTGTCTCAAAACAGCATCTTTCAGCTCTCATTGTTGGTGTAAAATCATGCAACCCTTTCCACTCAACGTCCGCCCCACAAACACATACAAATATACGTGCACAAACCCAAATCGAGTACTGTGCAAAATGCAACTTACAGCATTATGCTTTTGTTTATAAGTACATCGCTAAAACCCTACATTTGTTTAAAACATATAAACTATAATGTGGGGGGGAGGCAATCTTGTTTTGATGTTAAAGCCAGCAACCCATCTATCTCTCCATTTTCTGCCACTTATCAAGGTCTGGGTCATGGGGAGAGCAGTCTTATGCAGATACTCCCAGGCCTCCCTTTCCCGAGCCACTTCCTCGAGCTCTTCCAGGGCGGCACTGAGGCATTCCCAAGCCAGCTGAGAGGCATAATCTCTCCAGCGTGTCATGGGTCGGCCCTGGGCCCTCCTGCTTGTAGGACATGTCTGAACCAACTTACTGAGCGGGTGCCCTGGAGGCATCCCGATCAGATGCCCAAACCATTTGAACCGGCTTTTCAATGTGGGGCAGTCGTGGCGCTGTTCTTAGCCCCTGCTGAACTGAGTATGTCACCCTCGCTGTAAGTTGTAGGCCAGACACCTTATGGAGGAATGTTATTTCTGTTGCTTGTATCCACAGTCATTCTTTTGGTCACTACACCGAGCTTCTGGCTGGGAGCAAAGATTGATCTGTAAATCGACAGCTTCACGTCAAGGCTCAGCATGCTCTTTACCGCGACAGACTGGTACAGCATCTAGATCACTACTGACACAGCACCAGTTTGTTTAGGCATATGCCTCTCACCTTTGGATTCCTGCAATCTCCTGGATTGGGATTGGATATTGCCACTATCTTGTTTTTCAAAATTGGGACCAAGGAAAAGACCTGAACTTTGTCTTTGTGACTATAGTTTATTAAAAAGGCAAGATGTTTAGGAGCCAAGCTATGGAACATCTTGATTGCACCTGATTGTACCTTTAATCATTAGTTATTTTTA